GTTTCAGGAAAGGGAGGAAATCATGAAAGGCCCACAGAGGAAGAGCTGACAAAGAAGAGATGCCCTTGGTTGTCTCTGTGTACTTTTTAAGGAAGATCATTTCTTTAGAGGGTTTTCTTCTTGTGAGATAACCTGGGAGTAGCCTTGGTAATACGTAAGCCTTTCGGCACACCAGCCAGGGTCACCGAGACCGTCATCCAACGATTGTTAAATGACCATTGTTTTTTTTCTTTAAAGATTTGTGCTTGTTATTTAAATATTTACTTACTGATTTAGTGTGGGCAGAAGGTGCACGCGCACGTGCGCACGCATGCATGTGTGTGTGTGTGTGTGCAGGCGTGCATATGCGTGTGTCACAGTGGAGGTCAGAGGAAACTTGTGGTATAGGTTATCAGCTCTCTCTGCTTCTCAGGAGTGAACTTCAGTCACCAGCAGCAAGCACCTCCACCTTCTTGAGCCATCCTGCTGGCTGATTTTTCTGTTTTGTTTGTGGCTCTTATTTTTAAGACCCCCATGTTGTTCCTGTGGCTGCCACAGTAGCTCTGCAGTTCTATCTTTGTGAAGGAAGCCCTACCTGCTCTTGCCTTTACGAGCATGCACTTGTACTCATTCATTCAGCTGAAAGAGTCTTGAAAAGTTCATTAGAAGCGTTCCCTCTGACAATCTCTATGTGACTATAAGAAGTCGTGGTTTGAATGTGAAATGCCGCCATTGCCTTGTGTGTTTGAATTTGGTCCCTCGACAGACAGTGGTGATGCTTTGGGGACCTATGGAACATGTCAGGAGGTAGAGCCTTATCAGGCACTGATGTGGCCTTAAGTGTCCTTAGCCGGGTTACACTTCTCGTCCACAGATGCAGTGTAACCGGTTGCCTTACATACCTGCTGCCCTGTCCCTCCATGATGGGATTATGCTCTAACTATGTGCCAAAATAAACATATGAGTGTGTGTGTGTTTAAAAAAAAACCAAACAACAAAAAAAATGGGGCTGGAGAGATGCCTCAGTGGTTAAGAACAAACACTGACTGCTTTTCCAGAGGTTTTGAGTTCAATTTCCAGCAACCACATGGTGGCTCATGATTGATTATCTGTAATGGGATTTGATGCCCTCTTCTGGTGTGTCTGAAGAGAGCAACAGCATACTCACATACATAAAACAAATAAATAAAATTTAAAAAACCCAAAATATAAAACAGTTCCAAGAATGAGACGGGAACAGGAGAGGGGAAAACGACCATATTACTCTAATGAAGGGGTTTGAAGAGTATCACCTGTTACAGAAATGACCCTAAAAAAAAAGTACCAGAGGCTAAAGAACAACCCATCACAAACCAAAATTACAGTCCACAGGATACTTTCAAAGAAGGCTTAGTGGAAATGAGTTGAAAAAACTGTTCATGGAGATTGGCCAAATATTCAGGGTTTTCAACCTCCAAGAGATAGACTACTGTTCAAAACCCACTCAGTGTTGCCTAGAGGATATGCAAATGCAAAGGGTTTTAAAGGTTCTGCATTGAGGCAGGGGAGACAGCTTAGCACATAAAGTTCTTGAGGCACAAGCATAAAGTCTCAGTTTCCATCATCAGACCCATAGTAAACGCAAGATGCGCTGGCTGGTACTTGCAACCCCAATGCTGAAGGGTAAAAATGGGGCAGGCGGGGGTTGGGGGGATGGTGGATCCTGGAGCTCTTAGTCTGTCTGAAATGATGAGTTCTAGGCCAGTGAGGGCTCAGCACACAGGTACAGATGTTTACCTGTAACTCCCACACCCCCACACTCACTCACACAGACACACACTTAGATAATATGCAAACCTGGACTGTGTTCCTCTTACATGTATTTCTAGGATTTCCTATGCATTGAAACATGAGCTGGTGATTGACAAGTCTTGGTAGAATTTCCTCCAGCTTGAGTAACAGAGCCCCTTGATCAGCTTTCCTGTCTTACAGCACACAGATGTGTTGTAGATGGTGCACATCAGGTTATAGGGCTTCTGAGAGTATCTAGGGAGGCCCCTCCACTGGAAGGAAAAAAATCCAGATAGCATGGCAGACATTTCCCATGCAACATTACCTGCATTCACACACTTCTGAGTCTGAGTCTGAAAAGGAGATGTGTTATAAACACTTATAGTAGTAACCTTTTTAGATAGCAGTAGTAGTGGGCACAAGAATCCATGCCAATCAAACTTCTGCCTTAATGAATTCTAAGTGATTCCCAGGACACTTGAATTGTTCTAGAGTGCATCCAAATAATAAATTGCCTAATGCATGTCCAGTTGAGTGAGATTTGTAAATTCGCTGTACTTATTTTATGGACACATTTGTTTGTTCGATTGCCTTCTCGTTTTGCATGTGCTTGTGTGTGTTTAGCATGGATGTGCCCATACCTGTGGGGGCCAGAGGACAGCCTGTGGTGTTCTCTATGTCTATTGGTGGATCTGTGTCCTCCTGTGGTGGTATTTATTAGGGCAGACTTGTCATTTGTTTGAGACTTGAGAGCTTTGAAGGCTGAGTGGTGCCTGAAATAATTCTCTCGAAATGCACAAGATTTCCGAGGACTGTTTCACCACTGTTTTTAAGTGAAGGTGGTTAGTGCGGCTGCAGGCTACAGATCTGCCTTTCGCCCGCTTTCTCGGATATTCAAGACCCCTTCTGAGTGTTCCCTGGAAACATGGAAAAGGACAGTTGGAAGACCTCAGTAGTCCAGGGTTCACCAGAGGCGAATGGCAGCACTTTCTCCACAGCTACTCTTTCTCTCCTAATCAGGACAATTTAAATTCCACAGTTGTGTCTTCACCATGTGGTTGCATTCTTAAGAATTTTAACTTAAATGATAACTTGGTCTACGTGTTTATCAGAAGCAGCCCTGAAGAGGAAAATGAATTGTCTCCTCTTGTACGTAGACAAAAATTGTGTGAAGCGTGGGGGGGGGGTCCCTTTATTGCTTTATTTGTGTTGTGATATGCTGCAAAATCCATATTTTCCAAATGCACTTGTATATTTTGTTCCAATCTTGACATTTTTGTATAGATAGGTGCTATCCTGCTATTCACCCTGCCCAGGACTGCTTCATCTATTTAGAAGATAGTTGGAGGGTCTGAATGCTTGCAGCTGACTTTCTTCTTTTATTTTGTAAGAGCAAGAATTGGTTAAGAGCAGCCTCGTGGAGAGGACGAAAACAGTGTAAAAGGGAGGTCTTTGTGTATAAAAGCACAATGCAAGAGCAAGTGTCAGTTAATTTATTGCGAGTGTCTTTACCTCTTGTCTCAGTAACCTTAGCCATGCAGCCGGTCTAATGGCGTAGTTGACTAGGGTTATAGCTTAGTGGCAGAGCATTTTTGAGGCTCTGGGTTTAAGCCTTCATCAACTGTGAGAAGAAAAGAACCAAATTATTTAGAAAAGAACTGCTGTAGCTTTGAAAAAAGTGATTATTATATTTTCTACCGATGGCAGCAGAACTCATGGACATAGTTTTCCCTCCACATATTAGTATATGTTTTTCCATACTGTCCATTTTAAAAATAAGGACTGTATTCTAAATGGGGCATGGGGACCTTAGGTGTAAAAGGAGTAAGATGCAGGTCTGGGATGTTGCTATGGGAAAACACAGTGATGCATTATTCAGGATTTGATAGATTCTAGGTGACCATTACATGAAATACATGTTTATGATGGTTAAAGATGGGGTTGCTGACGAACTCCATTCTGATGCCAGTTTTGCTAGGACTTTATTGAAACTTCAAAAATATTTTATTTTTAGTTTGTGTGTGTGTGTGAGCACCTATGTGTGCAAGGGCTGACATGGCAAAGGAGGTTGTTGGAACCCCTGGAACTAGAACTGAGTTTTGAAGTGCCTGATATGGGTGCTGGGAACCTACCTGGTCCTCTGGAAGAGCAGCTACCTCCCCTGTGCCAGGCTACTAGCACTTGGCACCACACCTGCCTTCTCTCTTCTCTTTTCTCCTCGCCCCTCCCCGCCCTTCTCCTCCCCTTCCTTTCCTCTTTCCCCCTCTCTTCCTTGCCCCTCCCCTCTCCTCATCGCTCCTCCCCGATTCTCCCCACCCCTCCCCTCTCCTCTTTGCTTCTCCCCTCTCCTTTTCTCCCCTCCCTTCCCCCCTCCCCTCCCCGTTCTCCTTTCCTCCCCTTTCCTTCCCTTCCCTTTCTTCCTTCCCCTCCCCTTTCTCTTTTGTCTTTTTTATAATTCTGGAGATGGAACTCAAGTTCTCATGCATTCTCGGAAAGCACTGTACAGAAGGATCTACCCTCCCAGTTCTGTCTGCCTTTTTCTGATGACATCTCAAATGCCCTCCTTTCATTTTAAAAACAGGTCTACATGCCTTGTTTTCTGGTATAGGCTTTTGTATCTAGACACATAAGCACCTGTTTTAAAATCTTTGTTTTCACTGAGACATCTGTAGTCTTGTATGATTGCTCTTACACAGAGACCTCCAGTTTATGAAGTGTCTGTGCTGGCTTTCTCAGCTGTCCACTGACTGTGCCATTTCTCAGTGATGTATGCTCGCCCTGCCCCTCCCCACCCCTTCTTCACGCTGTCACCCTCATTACCATACGATGTTTCTTCTTCCTTGAGCTCCATCTATCTCCTCTCCTCCTACTCTGTAAGCCTGTTCTGTAGTTCAGGACTTAGTTGTGTTTTCCCACTGAGCAATGTCGCTCTGATATTTTCTTTCGGAATTTTCCAAACTGCTGCCATGTCTTCATTGTTGCTTAAGACGGTTGTCTAAGTAGGTGTTAAGTCCTCAGGGCCGTAGATTCTTTCCCTCTCTAGGTGCCCAGGTGCATGGTAGGTATGAAGCCTATAATTAATAACAGGTCTGTGGCTGTAATTTCATTACTCTTCACTTAATCATCAGGTGTGAAATTCAGAAAAAAAATACTGAAGTAACATCAACGTACAGAAACCTTCGATGATTTTTGAGTGTTTGATTCACCATTGATGTGTTGAGGTGTTTGTTTTTTCTCCCTTCTCTCACTAGCTATCAAAGAGAAGTATACAGACTGGACGGAATTCCTCATACGTGAGTTGACTGGTTCTCGGACAGCGCCTGCAAACCTTCTGGAAGGTGTATGTATTGCTATTATTCATCTTTTATAGCCCTGAAGTGTCCCCAGTCCTGAGATGTCTAGTGGCGCCTTCGAGTATATCCTTGTGCGGATACATGCGGACACAGATGTTCTTATTCTCGCAGCATAACTTCCTGTTTATTAACTGAATTCCGTAGGTGATGGATCTGAGTACTATCGACTGATGTTTTCCTGTATTATAGTCAATTAATGGGAAGTTTTTCCTGTTCGAGTTCATTTTAAAACTATGTATCAGCACGTCGTCCCGTCACCTCAAGCCTTACCGTGCAGGATAACTGTGGCGGGTGATGGGCAAGCGTATTTCTGTCCTTACTGTAGTCTCCTGGAGCCCGGTAGTAAGTAGCACCATTCGTTGTTCATCTGGAGTGCGTATTAACTCCATGAGCGCCCACATATGTGCTACCCAAGACTATCGATTAGCAATCCCCATAAAACAAGAGGAGAGATGGCTGATTGTATTGGAGTGTGGCTCAGGCAGGTTTTAGGCATGGGAGCAGAAGAATTTAACATCAAGTCTCAATGGTTTGTTTGAAAATGTGATGATGAAACATTATTAATTCTTATATGCACTTGAACGGGAAGACAAATAATATGTAATTATTAAATTACTAACTCTGTCTTAAGAGTACCCTGGAAAGAGGAATCCTAAATGAATGGCTGGGGATAAGATACGGATTTTTATTATTGTTACTAATATTGGGGATAAGATACAGATTTTCATTATTGTTACTGTTGTTGTTGTTGTTGTTATTATTAACCTTCATTTTCTTTCTTGGCAATGGTATTAATACTTATGACAGCCACCATGTGCTATGGCATACACAAATGTTTTATGTAGATTTTTCTTGATATGTTTATCTTAATGGCTGTTTTTGACCATTGGGTTAAAAGACTGCAGTGATGATCAGTCAGTCATCTTTTCAGGGACGAGTTGCCTTACTGTGTTAATTGTTTTAAGTAGCCGTCTAGGAAGACATTCTTCATATGCCAAGAGGGTTACTCAGAAAGGGCAGTACTTACAGGTTTTCCAAACCAATGCCCAAGTTAAACAGTAGAAAACTTAATGTAGCCAAATGTTAAAAAGAAAAAAAGATGCCTGCTTTTATAATCCCAGCACTGGGAAAGCAGAGGCAGGCAGATGCCTGTGATTCACTGGCTAGCCAGCATAGCTTAATCCTGGGTTCCAGGCTAGAGAGACCCTGTCCCTGTCAAAACTGGTAGACGGTGACTGAGGAGAAGCACTTAAGATTGCCCTCCGGCCTCCCTGCGTGCAAAAATGTGTCTCAGACATGTCACCTGCACACACGTCTGCACGCATTCAGTTAATCTGTCTATGACAGGGTTCTGTAAGGTGAACTGTAAGGTGAACTTCTCTTAAGAAGTCGTGGTATAAATTTATAGCCCTATATTAGATACATCTGTCAATTTGAAAAAAATAGACATTTTGTAATCAGTTGTTCTTGCTCTGGTGAATCTGAGAATAATTTTACTAACAAATGTGCTAATCTCTAATAAATGCAATTTTAATTGGGAAGGTTAATTTGTTTGATTAAAATAATGGCATAAACTGTTGTTTGCTATTCACTTGTGATTTTTGCTGTTGGAAATGGTGTTGGTATGTGGACGTGTGTGAAGGAGGAAAGGATGCTGGGTTGACGGTTGTACAGAAGGGGGGGGTTGGGGTGATGTCAGAGTGCTTGGCAATCGTTTGGATGATGGTGTGAGAAAAAAATTATTATCTCCTGCTGTCATCTGTTTCCATGAGAACCTTAAAAAATCAAGTTTAAAATACGGAGTTTTGCTTCTGTTTGAACAGCCTCTACGAGGGAAAGGCCCTATAGACCTCATTACAGTTGATTCCTTAATAGAGCTGCAGGACTCCCAGAACCCCTTTCAGTACTGGATAGTTAGTGTGATTGAAAATGTCGGAGGAAGATTACGCCTTCGCTATGTGGGATTGGAGCACACTGAATCCTATGATCGGTGGTTATTTTACTTGGATTACAGACTTCGACCAATTGGTTGGTGTCAAGAAAATCAATACAGAATGGATCCACCTTCAGGTGAGAGGCTGCATTTTTTTCCTCTGTGATGTGCTTGTGATAGAGATGTCAGACTCCTGTGGGTGTCTCTCAGCATACACCTGCTCATGCGTCTTTTACACACCCGTATGTGGATCTTAAGTGTTTTGATTTCATCTTTTGGGTGGAGAATAAAATCCAAGATACTGATCAGAAGCACTCTCAAAGGAGAACTCGGTGTCCTGGGGCTCAACAACATCTGTCAACTCAATCAGCTGGTCCTGTTCCGATGGTGTCACTGGCTCAGAAATGAAAGAAAGGGGTGATCGGGTCCCCATTCCTTAGGGACTGCGGTCTTGGAAGCATATTCCACAATCTCTGTTTGCACACCCATCTTTCTGACTGCCTGTTTTCTGTTCACCCATTCTCCCCTTCTTCTTTCCTCATTCATCTGTCCGTCAACCCTCACGTCCATCCATGTATGTAGCTGTGCAGTATGCGGCTATGCAGTATGCAGCTGTGCAGTATGCAGCTATGCAGTATGCGGCTATGCAGTATGCAGCTGTGCAGTATGCAGCTGTGCAGTATGCAGCTATGCAGTATGCAGCTATGCAGTATGCGGCTATGTATCCATTTGTGCACATTGTCTTCTACCATACATTCCTCTCCTGCCTTCCTTTCTCCTTTCTTTGTGTCAGTTCATACCCACCGTCTGCCCACAGTCACCCAGTTCCCCACCCTCCCTCTTACCACTTATCCAGCTCTATGTCCACCTCTGCCCTTATACGGCAGTCACTTGCTTTCTCTCCATCTCTTTCCATTCACTTGCCCAGATTCATCCGTAATACCATGCGTTCACTGCAACCCTCTCATCCACTTACTTATGCAACCATACACCACCCATTCATATCTATCTATCTATCTATCTATCTATCTATCTATCTATCTTCCATCTATCCGTCCATAAAAGTTTCACATCACTTGCTCATCATTATATAGTTAAGGAAATTGAGATGAAGGATTAATCTGTTCTTTTTCCCCGTCAAGCAAGTTATCAGTTGTAGGTTGCTTCAAGTGTACTGGCAAATGGCTTTGCATAGGTCTAATGGGATAGAACAGCGTGTCCTGCCCTCTGATAAATCTAACTAGTTAAAAAGTAAAATCTCCCATTTACTGGATAACCATTCATAAATGTTTATTATATTTCCTGTGATTCTACTTTTACATTTGTTATGTTGTTTATTTTGATTTTAAAAATGTGGTGCCTGTTTGGTACAGATCTCTTTCTACAGCCATTGACAGAATCGTGACTGTGTAAGCTGCTTCTCCATGCCCTCCCCACCCCCCAGCTTGTAGCAATCACATGGGTGTTGCTATTAGAATACCAGGTCCTAGGCCCAGCCCATCTTATTGACTCTGCCGACCTATTACTATTACCGACCTTTTGGCAGAAAAATCTCAGAAAAAAAATCTCACATTGTTCATGCCTTTACACATGCTAAGGAAGAAATATTTCTTCCTGACAGATTTTTATTTTGTGGTCAGCCTTACAGGTATCTTTAGAGCGAGTAATTAGTTCTCAGCTTCATTGAAATTGCTCCTGTGATAGTTGCCAGTGTGAGTCCTGTGTACACAGAAGTGAGAAGTTATGTTTACCTTACCTGTCACTCAAGAGCTTTGATTGTGGAACATTTCCTGGTGCTGGACTCCATGTATTTGCATCCATGTTCAGTTTGACAGGCGTGTAGATGTATAACCTGGTCTTTTATAATAGCTGTATTGTTGCTGTCGACATCCTGAGACGCAGCCGAGAAATCCTTTTATACCTTAAGCATTTGGTGGAGTAACGAACAAAGGTCTTGTCCATGCTGTGAGAAAAGACTGAGCTTGCATTTGCCTGGGGATTCATAACCTGGCAGGAAAAATTTACTTGTGGAGAAAGGTGGATGCGTAAATCTCAGCCTAGTGCCTAATTGCTTTATAAATTCTACAAGGAACTTATCCTTGCCAGTCCATGGATTTATAGTAAAGCAAAGAATTTCCAGTCGCTTCTTATACTCTTTGTTCTTCTCTTTTTCTCTCCTTCCTATGAAATCTGGGGACTACACCTCCAATGCTTCAATGGAAAACAAAATCTCCTTTTAAGAAATATTTGCTTCTGAATGTTTCTCAGTTTCGGGATGTCTCTATCTTTACAAGGCACGAATAACTTGTGCTATTTGTCCTTATATCTCTGGACATAATGTTGATTTTACAGAAGAGCTTATGGGTTTGTCTAAAGACAGGAAAAGTGATTTGTCGAGAGCTCATTTCCCCAACTTTTAAAGTGTTGGCATGGATGATTGTGTAGGGGAGAGAGAAAGCAAAAGCCCAAATGTCACTCATTTACAGTAGTTACAAGATGAAAACTGGATTCTGTTACCTCATCAGTGAAACAGTTCCCCCTGAGAAAAAAGGCGATTATTACTGCAATTTTGCACTTGGGAACAAAACCCGATATGTTAAGATTTGTGTAAATTAACCTCAAATCTCAGGGTACCTTGCGCCACTTACCTGGCAGCACCATTTTCTGAACTGAAAAGACATTGCGAATAAAATTTCAGATATCGTAGAAAATATTAGGCTGATTCTCTTATTCCCAGTCACTAATAAACCAACACAAAATTACTCAGCATTAAGATCTGAGGGAGAAGAGTGGAGTTGTAGAGGTGAAAGGCATTGTGGGAAATTCCATAGCCTGGTATATGTTGCGAGGGGGGCTTTGGAAGGTGAGGTGCTTGTGATACTCCCTTTCCCATGCATCTCACTAATGTGTCCCCACTGTTGTAAATAATCCCTACTCTTACCTTTAATCTATCATTTACCTTTTAAAGGATAATCTATCTTTTTCCCTTTAAAGGACATTTCCTTCCTCGAACAGAGAGAATAGAAACAGGTAACAGAAGTGGCTGAGACGTTATTTGTTGGAAACTCTAGGAAATGTACTAGA